TTTCTACTATTCACTAACTACGACTAGCAAAGCCACACGAGGAAGTGCAATGGAGTAACTAAAATATTCCCAAATAACATCCATACCTTAGCTCTACACTCGTCCGCATCCTTTCATTTTTAATAATTTTTCGACATGCGTGTGTCACTCATTTGAACCTTCACTTTTTCAATAAAATATTTTCTATCAAATATTTCTCCCCTCAATTATCAAAAATTTCTTTTCTTTATAACACGAAATTTTAGTATAAAAAAAAAACTGAAAACTGTATAAAATTCCAAAAAAATTGCGGATAAGGTGTGTAAAAATTCCGGCTATCGGCGCGCAGGACCTCGACTTCTGCCCGTTTAGAATGTAAAAAAGTGTTTGTTGTCTGTGCATCTCGGCAAGAAATTCACGGCCATACTATCGAGTTCTGTGCGTGTGCTCTTGTCATGGCGATCCTCGAGCGCAATGGTAACCTGAACATCTGGTGGTTCCCCAAAGAGTTCAGTCAGTCGCGCTACGGCGAATACCATCACAGTGGCACCAATTCGTGTACTCTAATCACGCTCATCCTGGCCAATATGGTCGCGAAAGGGGGACGTGGATTCTATTGCCAAAGCATGCAGGACCTGCCGCCGCGTGCTGTCGACATCTTCGCCGCAGCAATCAACAAAGGCAACAGCGCCTACGCACACCTCATCACCGGGCATGCGGGACATGATAGCGCCGTCTCTTTGCCGTCGTCGAGCAATCAAAATCTGAACATACCGGACGCCTTGAATGTGTTGAAGAGCCAGCCGCAGTTTCGCCTCAAGGAGTGGTTCTTCACACACATGCAAGCTGATCCGGAGCGTGAGACTGGCCGCACGATTGCTTTGCGGCTAATGCAGGCTCTAAATAATGGTGTGCAGCTATTTAGGCGGGCGGGCAAAGTCAATGAGCATTTTCTTTTCGCCGCTATGATTTCCGACAATCGAACTGTGCTGTTTGTTATCGAATTTCCGGCCAATATTATCACCTTCTTCGATTCGCATCAGCATGGACGCGACGCAGGTGCGGTGGTGGCGCAATGCAGCTTTCGCGATTTGTTCGATATGATGAACTGGTTTGTGAATATGAATAACGAGGTTTACTCCAGTCAACCGAGTATATACGAAGTGTCATTTCTTCTACCTGATCCATCTGGATTGCCCACGCCCGAGAAGTCGGACAAAAGCGAAATATCCCACCACATGAAAAGTGCAACGCCGGCGAAGAAAATGCAAAAGAAATGAAGTTGCGCATAGAGGTGATTAGCATCAAACAACGTTGACGTGCATAAATACTTGCCGTTGTCTCTAATTACACCCGCCCACAGCGAAAATAGAAAATTGTCTGGTGCAAAATGTTTGTTTTAAAGTAGAAAATGAAAATCGGAAAAATGCAAACGTTGTGTAAATGGCTTCGCATCTTTATCTAAACTAACCTGCAGTAAAAGCTAACAATAAAATTTTCTATAGCCGCAGTGCTAATTGTTTTTTATTCCATACTGGTAAATGGCTCGGATTTGGAATAAGCGATTTTGTGCTGAAGAGCTTTCGCTTGCGTGCAAGCTCTGTTCAACACTGGCTGGGGATCAGCGCAAAATTACATATTCGCTCCCTCAGGGATGTTGCTGATAAGAACTGATCAGTCACCACATGCTTAAATCGCTTTAACTGACGATCTGACCTTTATTTATTTTTATTTATGAGGAGAATGCCTCAGCATGCTCTCTTTTCGAAACAATTCCACCATTGCCCTGCTATTGTGTTGAGTCCCAAGCAGGTGCTGCATATTCGTTATCTATTAAGGGTGCTTCCAACCGATTATAAATTATATCGCTGAAGTAGGAATGAAAGCATAAACTTAAAATGCAGTGGTTACCCTCGAACGTTAGTCTGAACTAATTGTTCTGAAGATTTTAATTAGACAGTTAATGGCTCGGGGTTTTAAAATATTTATGAATACCGAACAGCTTTGAGTGCTTTTAGGAAAAGCTAAACTACCACCTAAATTTTGTAACTGTACTTGATACAGGTTAATAGAATTTCTGATTACTTCTACATACATATAGATCTTTACCTTAATATCATTAAAATTAAGTGCAATCTTCCATTATGCAATCGCATCTGCAATCACTAAGTGCAGCGTTGTTAGTCTAGCGGAGTCTTTTGAAACCCTTGCTTTGCTGGAGGGTTATAAGATTTAGGAGCATATCAGGGAGCTGCAAAACATACACCTAACGGGGCTAATATTCCTTCCGAATTACGTTATTCGCCATACAAAATTTTGAGAGCGAATCACCTCATTTGTGAGTAATTCAGATCGAATTACCATGCGAACGACGCACGAAGCGGTGTCTTCTGTAATATTTATCGGAAATATATCGAAGTTTTCGCCGGCCTGTTCACATCTTCTGGCACCTTTTCTAGTTATAGAATAATATTTATGAAATATTCTCTATATAAATTAAAATTGTTGATAATAACTTAAATTTTAGCTCCATCTTCGACATTTGCACAGTACACAAAAATAATAATAAATAGCGAAGAAAAAGATCAAGAACTAGAGCTGCCAAACGAATTACTAGTGTGTGTCGTGGAAACAGGGTTATTCACGAATCACTTAGCGAATTACGAACCGTGGAAACATCGTATTAGCAAATGTTAACGAAATTCCAAGAAAGTGCGGTGGAAACACTTTAACAGGGTTTTAAGATTTCGAGGTCGAATTCTCAGATTTCAGTGCAGTGGGAATGTAATATTAGACAAAAGTTTAACCATTTTTCGTGAGCTTTAATTTACTGTCGTTTGAATCTTACATTGGGGTGATTCGAACTTAGATCTGGTGGGTATCTACTTGAACGGAGTACTTCAGGTAAATTAAATTTAAAACAAAAAAAAAGACAAGAACATCAATATATCATACCTTATGATCCGACTTGACATCGCTCTTGTTTCAGCATTGGCAAATGATAAACTGGTGTGAGCCAAAAATTACATTTTTGCTTATGGTGATTCGTTTCTTTCAAAAAATGTTACCCTTCCACAGTGCAAAATTTGTTTGATGTTACACCCAACCCTGTAAGAGGGCATGGTTTTGCCTCCCTACCTACTTACCTTGTCTATCTCATGCGTTTCATAATATTGTTATTTTAAGCAACCATTTGGTTTTCAGGGCAACAGTCTCCCCTGACAAAGCTCCAAAGCGCAGAGAATACATAGCGGAATTATACCAGGTGAAGTAATTAGAGCGAGAAGTAGGATTTTAACACTGCCTTATCTAAAAAACTGCATTTAAAATTTGACTATAAGGCAGCCCAATGCCAGAAAATAAAGCGAGAAAGCTGTTTTATTACTTCACCTGTTTATAGCGCCATGCGGAGAATATGCCTTTTTTGCTTTACAAGAATCCTACATTTTAGGAAACGACCACAAAACTTTCTCACAGTTTGTCTTTGTTTCAGTATCGAACACGAAAAGAGAAAAGGGCAATCAAAAGGTGAAATTTTTTGGTAGAAATGAAAACATTATTTACATTTCTGCATTTCCGAGAATCTTTTGTAATCAATATGCTTGTAATTAGTTTTGTTCAGGCATATTTACTCACATCGCATAGTACCCGTTTACGTCGCAATCACAAAGTAAATCATTCGAATTAATTGGATTATCGGTGTTTCGCTGCACAATGCTACTTAATTGACAAAAAATCAATCGTAGCAGTTACAAATTAATTGAAATGGCACTTTAGCAATAATATTAATTGAAAATCACTTAAAAAGGCTGCCATTTAATAAATTTACAAACTAAATTAATTTGTTATATGTATCCTGCACTTTTTGCCGACAATTGAATCTTTTTACAAATTCAACATGATAATAGTAGTAAATATTTTTTATTTTTTTTTTAATTTCACACCTTTTTATTTAGTACTTAAGGGAATGGGATTTTCCATACTTTTACTTCAGAGCGTTTAAGTTTTGAAAATTAGCTCACATGACAGCCGCAGCTGTGCTGTCACATTGCGGATAATTATTGATTGAATCAAATGCTACTTAACAACAACAACAACAACAACTCACTCACGCTCCCATTGCACCGACTACTACTCTGCTACATATAGTAGTACATTGTGGTTGAATCTTACTAAATAATTACTTCGTAGATATTTTGGCTTTGTGCACCCCTCTGTTTATTTAAATTTGAGCTATGCTGCTGTGTTCTAAGCTCTTCCCTATACTACATTTGTATGTACATATCGCACGTTTAATAATATAACGAAGTATTTCAAAATTTCAATATTGTGGGAAAACGCAATCAAAGTTTTATCATTTCATACAGTTGGTATACAAAAAGACGGATGGAAAGGCACATATCTTCGCCATATTTGGGAAGTTCGGTTATCTGTTGGACTGAGCATATTATACTTATCAAGCTTATTAATTGCATAATAAAATCTCCAAAAACGTAGATTTTGAGTTACACCACTATACTGGTAAACGTGCGATATGTGTGTATGTGTGTTTGTATGCACGACGCAAGTGATAATAAAGCCATTATACGTTTGAAATTACAACACATAGCGAGTACTTAAGCTCAGTTACCTAAGCTGTGTTAAGTGACAATAATGTTGCTTTCTCACTTCATTGGTTTCGCTAAGAATTTGTATACTAAGTGGTAAAAGTTTATTTTATCGACGATACTTCGCAAAACTTAAAAGAGATTAAGGGCCATTTTCTCAAGCAAACTTTAACTTTAAAGATAAAGAAGCAACCTTAAACCTATTCATCTTTGTGAAACCTAATTATTTCATAAATGTCCTTTTAACTAATTTAACTAATATAATGTTTTTTTTTTTTAAGTAGAGGTGAAGGCCTTAGCAGTCAATGCTCTGAAATTCGTCAATTTATGGTTTTGATTACAACTTTGTTTTAGTCATTAATTTAATGTTATAAATAAATAAATATGTCATGTTCTATTTTCTTTTATTTTCAGAAAAAAAATTCCTCCTCATAGGTGTCGCGCTGATCGGCCCCGGCCTAAGGGGCCATGACGCGTTGGCCCTTTCATTATTTATTATTGCTCTCGGTGGCAGTATTCTGTGTGCCGGGTGTCATAGCGCTGCACGACGAACAAAATAGAACAATACTCAATGTTGGCTATCTAACAGCCATTACCGGTGAACTAATGGACAAGCAGGGTCTGGCCATTTCAGGTGCACTCACGATGGCTTTAGATGAGGTAGGCAAAATTATACCTGTTTTTTTTTTACATTCATCATAGTATTTAATACTAGCGCATTTCTTCAACGTTCTCTTTACAGATCAACGATGATGAAAATTTGCTGCCAAATGTTAAGTTGCAGCTACGCTGGAATGACACAAAAGGTGACACGGTGACTGCTACCAAAGCCATTACCGAAATGATATGCGATGGCATTGTGACGATATTCGGTCCAGAGGGTCATTGCTATGTGGAGGCTATTGTATCACAAAGTCGTAACATTCCAATGATATCATATGTAAGTAAATAAAGTTTTATTATGTTATGCATGTATTTATGTCAATGAGTTTTCAAGTTGCATGCCATTCGATATACCATTTAAAGGCTGTTTTCAAATTCAAAGCTTTGAAATTAGTTGAAAAAAGCCACCTCAGTCCTTTGATGTGTCCGCCCAATGCCTTAAATCGTGAACTTGCATATCCTTTTACAGCAAATATTTGCCCTTTGCTATTTGAACTAAGTACGCATGCAAGTGATTTACCACTTAGTGAAACCTATCCAATAACACTACTTCTGAAGTGTAAGCGTATGCTTGACATGTCCTTGGCGTTGTCGCATGTCTCTTTCAATTATGTAAATGCCACCGATTGTGTGCACTACTTTGCGATTAAGATGTACCGGAAGGTTGCTATAGGGAGGTTCCATGGGAACTGAACCTCAGAGCACAAAATTTTTTCTTTATAAATCTAACAAATGTGCGTTTACACAGGGGAGAAGGGCGGAAGCGCGGACTCGCCCATTTCCTATACACCCTTGTGGTCAGCTGATTAAGTTAAGTGACATTTTGGACCAGTTTTGGTTTTTTTATTTTGTTAATCTAATGTTTATAGTATTTGTTTATAAAAGTCTAGCACATTACATAACCAGAACAACATAAATCCACATTTCAAACTACGTATGTACAAAAATTATGAAATTCAACAAATTTTAACAGTTAGGGCGTGTGTGAATCGGTAACAAAGTTCTATGGGGAAAGCTGTTGAATAATATTTTTACTATGGTGAGACAGTTTTGCCAATCTGCTGTGTGAAATGAAATATTTTTTGACAGCCGTAAATTTTTGATACCGCAGATTTATTTGGAATAAAATATTACAAATTGAAGTGAAATGAATATTTTAAGAAAACATCTACCATCGTTGATTGCAATTCATCATTTAAGCTTTTATTTAACGAAAAATTACACACATCAACAATCCTTGCGATTGTCAAAATTTTCTATGCATTTGTCAAATATTATTTACCTCATAGTTGTCAAAAATTTACTCGACGCGAACTTTGTTACCGATTCACACACGCTCTTACACCCAAAAATTTTAAACTTTTTGTTCATGATTTTTGGAAAAATTCTAGGAATGCAGTGTATTAAATTTAAGTAGGAAAAAGTGAAAATTTCAAAACGCTAGGAGATCGCGTTGTTTTTAATAATTTTTTTGGCTGACGGTGCTAAGCTTTTTCTTCTATGTATATAAAAGGCACTATACTAAGATAAAACGTGCGTTAATTGAATCCCTACTTGGCTTCTTATATTCTTTAATAACTAATCTTTGATATGGACCACACTAAAGGCTCCTTTTCATATAAAAATTCGTACGCGTCCCACTCGTGACAGAGGAATTTCGGATTTTTTTATAATAAAGCTATTATTTTTTTGTAATTTTTGCTTTGTTTGCATTCGTGGTTCTTTGTTTTATTATAAGACATCAAGCTCACACAGAAAAGTGAAATAAATTCGCAGAGTTTTTGTAAAATATATCTGCTCCCAAAAGCAGGTTATTGTTTTTTTGTCCCACCCGTGACAGAAGAAATAACTCAGCTTTTTTCCATATAAAAGTAATAAGCTAGCATTTTTTCGTATTTTGTAATAACTCATATAATAGTCAATTAGGTGTAGCTTTATCAAAATGTGGAATTGTTTAGTACTTTATATTTAAATTTAAATAAGAAAGAACAATTTTCTCTGTTCAGTGTTCAGATGTCCCACCCGCGACGGTGGAATCGCCCTATATCATTTGCTTGTCTCCAGCTACTATTTTTTACATCCATATGTATGTATAAATGTATATACATATATAGCAGTGCCAATAGTTAGATGAGCAACTTGGGAAGTCGTTTGTTGTGTGGCATCGCTGACGGCAGGTGTGGCTGACAGGATGTACATATATACGAATGTGTTCATTTTTATTAAATTATACCTAAAAGTGTATATAAATGTGAACAGCAGAGTTCACAGAACGAAAAGCCTGAAGATTGCATACCATTTGTGAAGAAAAAAAATAGGATTTCATATTTAAGTGCATTTCAAAGAAAGTGAGGATTGCCGTAGTTGAGTATTTTTAAAGCCTGCAAACATTAGCACAACGGTGGTGAGCAGTCGGTTTGCCTAGGGAGCAACTAAAGAGCTGAAGTATGATGAGCCATTTTCGTATATTTTCTTTTATATGACCCGGTCTGACAGGTACCTTGAAATAGAGCTTATCTATACTAATGATATAAAGAGAAGTGCCTTTTGTTTGTAACAGGTAATCTCGCGAACGGCTGGTCCGATTTTCATAAAATTTTGTATGTAAATAGCTTTCAGCAAGCACCATGTTTTAGGTAGGTGAACCAGGGACTGATCCATTCGAAAAAAAAGTATTTATGGTCCGATTTGCCTAAAATTCGGTACGTAGGTAGCTTTTTGCCGGGATTAGCATATAGGGTAATTTTTTCCGAGAAGTGGACCAGGGACCGATCTATTCGAAAAAATCGTATTTATGGACCATTTGCTCAAAATTTGGTACGTAGGTAGCTTTTTGCTTTTCCGTGAAGTGGACCAGAGACCGATCTATTCGAAAATGTTTTATTATTTATCGTCCGATTTGCTTGAAATTTAGTACGTAGGTAGCCTTTTCCTAGATTAATATATAGGATCCATTTTTTCTTCTATGTTCCGTTTTGTTTGAAATTCGGCGCTTGGGCAACTTACTGCCTGGTTTAACATATAGGATATTTTTTTCTTATAGGTGGACCAGGGACCGATCTATTATATAGAATAGCAAAGCAAGCGGGTATTGGCTATTTATCGATACTTATTATCTATTCCAATTATATTAAGAGAAGTGCCACCCTTTTGTAAGAAGTGATCTCGCGAACGGCTGTACCGATTTTTTTTAAATGGCTTGTTTGGTTATAGCCACCGCATATTTCTGGAAGCATTTGTGGTAGTCCTGGACCTTGATATGAAGGTTTGGAAATCAATCCCGTACTCTTGGAGAAAAGTGGGGCCTATTCATAAAGAGGGCGTCGCGCCTTCCAAATATACTGAAACTTCTACTTATCTATAAATAAGTACATATATAATTCTTTGGTACGTGTGTTTTCGAGTGAACTCCTAAACGACCGAAATGATTTTAATAAAATTTTCGTCCTATAGTCCTTGTATAGTTTAGGTTTACAACTTAAAACGCCAAGTGGCGCTTGAGTCGAGTTATTAAAAATCGTATTTATGATCTGATCTGGCCAAGGAAATATTTCTGCGAATGGCTCGCCAGGTGGCTCTGGAGTCGAGTTATTACTAAAAATCGTATTCATGGTCCGATTTGCCTCATAAAAAAGATGTACATTGGTAACGGTAGGGGCAATACTATTGAAAAAAGAGCCGCAAGATGGCGCTGAAGTCGAGTTATTGCTAAAAATCGTCAAGTGAAGGCATTCGGAGACACCAGGGATCAAAATCAAATTACCCCCGATAAATCGACCGTCATAACCTTTGCTGTCCTTGCTTTACGGCGACTAAACAAAATAAAGACAATTCTTGATGAGTTTTCACAAATCCATGTTTATTGGATTTCTGTGGACCAATGATGTTTTCTCATTTTGAAATGACCAGCCTGATCATTGTTTCCCACGTGCTTTCTGACGACCACAACACCAAATGTGAACGTGAATTGTGGTGAAAACTTTGTACAAAATATTTAAATAAAGAAAGAAATTTTGGGCGGGACGAAGATCGCCGGGTCTGCTAGTTATACATACAACGGGAACGTTTCCTGTGTGTATAATAACTGGCACACAAAATTTGATATTGAGCCCCCACATTTAAATGTAATGAACTCCAAATGGAATGGACTGCATAGTCAAAAATTTTCTAAGAAATCGAATTAAAAAGCTCAAAATTTTGATGAAACTTTGTCGGATTTCGCGTAACTTTACTACAAGAATAATAAACATTAAATAATCGAAAGGGAAATTGCCAAAGATGGCTTAAATGTCTCTTCCCTATTTATATTTTCGCCACTGTATGCGTTCTTAGTCCTTTTTTGCTTTACTTTTTCTTTTTAATTGCCAAGGAATAATCTTTCTTTAAAAAAAATTTTAAACGGATATTTAGATTTTATCCGTATCCACGAACAACCGAACGCACATCCGCATATCCGAGTACACCAATAGTCCCAGCCCTTACTATGTATTTAGTTATTCCCTTTTGTCTGCCAGTCATCTTTCCAATACTGAATTATTATAATATGTTTATGCGTATGGTCGCTTTTACTTTCGCACTGGGAGTACTTTTACTCTATTAAAGGGCGCATTAAATGTGTCAAAAAGCTTTCTACCTTAAGTGCTTCTTTCACTGACTTGCTTTTCCAGTTGAAAGAAAAGCCGCTGCCCTTCACTTTTTAGTTTTTCTGTTCTTTGCTTTAGAACCAAATTAGAAGTGAGCGGAAAATTTAAGCCTTACCATTTTGAGTGTTAAGTGAGTCGTCTTGTTCTGGTTTGAGCAAAGCTTGGGACTACGAGCGATTTAAATTGATTTATCTTTATAGTAAATGAACGAAATTCAGTTCCCCAAAGCCAAAAGAAAAGCAAAAATGGAAATGAAATCAAGCAAGTTTTCTAAAAAAAAAAGGATCACAGAAACCATACAGCGAAATCAAACAGGCCAGCTAAGTAGTTTTTTCCTGCGCTCAATTTAATCTCCAACAAGCGTACAAAAAAGCAGCAAACTTACTCATCCCCGCCCCCCTAAAAAAAAAATACGTCTCAATGCAAATTCTACAAACCTATTTGCTCTGATTTTTTTTCCTCGTTTTCGCTGATTTGTTTTCATTACTTAAATGCCTTTGCCATATTTATCATTACCATTATTATCTGCATACAAATGAGTATTTCTCACTCTCTTTTTTCTATTTCTTCCCCAGAAATGCGCTGAATACAGAGCATCTGCCATACCGACATTTGCACGCACAGAGCCGCCAGATACGCAGGTAAGTTTAGCTAACAACAACAACAACAAAGCAATGGGGGGGGGGGGGAAGCAGCAAACAATTTGTGCACGAGCCGTCTAAGACTGCTTGTCAACGCAGATTGTATATAGGAGGAAATTCTTAAACACAATCGATGGAAACTAGTTAATGCCCGGCAAACGTGTTGGTCAAACTTTATGTGAAAAAGACAGTAAAAGGTGAAAGAAAAAAAAACAGCTAGCAAGCTGCCCTTACTTGTCAATTGTGGTCATATGTCAGCCGCCCGCTTTCCTCGCCCGCATTTGTTTTACAAGCAGTCGTGCATGCATTTGCGGCACGGATTACTTTACACATCCTGCAAATATGTACATATATACACCTGCGTTCAACTAATTAGAAACGAAATTCAAAATGATATTGTTTGCAAATTATGTTAATTTTTTTATTTTTGATAATTGTCATTTAAAATATAGTGCAATCTGTAACCGTAACCACAATAATGAAAGTTTCAAAGCTTGGAAATATTAAAAGTTTGGCATTACGCAGCATTAATAACGTTTCGAAAACATTAAAAATTCGTGTTATTCTTGCCCATGTTAGAGAAGGTTTGCAGCATATAGATAATAATAAAGGGACCATAAAACCACTACTAACTACTAACAAGCTTTTTATGCACAATAGGTCTTGAGAATACTTTCATATTCCAATAATACTCAAATTTTAGCTTCAAAACAATTTTCGTAGTGTAACAGACCCTAGGGTTGCGTCTAATTCAAATATGAAATATGTACACATGTGTATATAATTTATGTATATGTATATTTATGTAATATATGTATGTTTATATACACATATATATATATATATATATAAACCTTTATATACTATTTGTATACGATTCCTGCATTGTTAGGGTGATAAATATTAGTCAAAACAAGGATTATTGCGTAAAATATAAAAATGCGAGTATCTCGAAAAAAGGATCAGCAACGATTTAGATCTCGATGGACTTTAAGCCTACTAATGATTTAGAAAAAGGCTATGAAAGCCGATTTGAGACACACTTTTATAAAACTTAAGACTGGTTCAAGGCCGTGCATATTCATGAAGAAAAATTGGGGCTATTGGAAAAAGGGGCGTGGCACCTCTCATACAAACCGGATATTTTATACTGCATATTTCTGGAAGTGTTCATGGTAGAGTAGAAGATGGCATGGGGTTCATATATCCCATACTCTTAGAGAAAATTGGGGCCATTTTAAAAGGGGGCGTAGTGCCTTTCAAACGCACTGAAGCTATTACATATCTTTGTAGGCATATACGGTTTTGCTAGGTTATTTAAGATGGCAATGGAAATAAGCATTCCGACAACCACCAAGCCGTAATATTAGAAGATAAATGCGTCACTGAAAATCATGAACGCGAACTGTTGGTGAAAATGTTGGACCAAAATGTTTCAATACAAAAAATTTATTTTGGGCGGCACGAAGTTCGCCGGCTCTTCTAGTATAAGTATATTTATTTTTATTTCTATATTTTGTCTAGTCACTCAGGCACTCATAAGCGTGTTATCCGCCCAGAAAACAAAAAGAATAGAAAACAGTAAAACAGATTAAACAACGCAAAATTTGGTATGCGTAGGTACTTTCTATTTTTAGCTGGATATTCCCGCGATTAGATACAAAGATACAGAATGGTCAATGTTACCTTGGACTTTTAGACGTACTTTGATCATCAATATTTGTATGCAAATATGTGAAGGCGTCTTGTTGTTTATTTAGTTTTAAATTATATCTGCATAACACAATGGAAGTGTAGGCGTAGCAGTATAGTTAGGTATTTAGATTTAAGTCATTTTGTAAAAGTAAAGATCGCTACTTTATAGCGTATGATTTTCTAAGGGAAATTAGATAGGATCACTTCGATCGGGTATGCAAAACCTCGTATATGCCTATATATATAATTACAATAAAGCAGAGGACAGTTATAACCTAATAACGAAAGCAGATTTCAACCAAAGCTCGCAACCTGCTGTTTATATATAATCTACAAAACTTGCGATAAGACCTTCCCCAGTATTTAAAACTTTATTCCACTATATATGCCCTACAGATGAATAATAATGTACACGCTATTATGATAATGTTGAAATCAAAGCCAAGCTGCGGCGCGAAGAATTGTGCATGATTTGATGCGGATAGTCAGTTTCTGAGTTTATCGCGGACAACAACGTGTTACGAGAATTATATATATATAAAAAAATCCGCGACACCCTCCACAAAAACAAAAAATAAAAAAAAATCAACGGCAATTTTTAACGACTTGAGACTTGCACTTTCTTACACTACAACAGAATGGGCTACAGAACTGCATACCGGATAATTTTTTAAATATTCTGCTTAAAAATTTGGGAATTTTGATGACAATTTTTTGAAGTTTGATTATTTTTTTGCAATTTTCGCAATCTTTGAAGCTTCTATTATTGTGGTTCCTGTTACAGATTGAACTATATTTTAAATGACAATTATGAAAAAATAAAAAAATTATCATAATTTGTAAACAATATCATTTCAATTTCGTTTCTAATTAGTTGAACGCAGGTGTACTTTGCTACCAAACCTACTTATGCGTTTTTGAGCGTATGCATCTAGTTTAGCAGTGGCATGCTGTTGGTCGGTTAGCCATCGCTACTATAAAAATTCATAAATTGTTAACGAGCTGTCATAGCTGATGGTCGCCATCCAACCTCGGTAGCCTTTGCGTCATTTGCCAGCAAAGTTGCGGCCACTTTGCATCGTTAAGTTCCTCCTTCCGGTCTGTAGCTGATACGATATCCATTGCGGCTATTTGCGTTCGAACATCGCGATTTTGTATGAATTTACACGTTGCTTAATCTGTTTGCTTCGGTGTAAAAGGCCACGGATTTTGCTATCTTCTGTGTAAAGACGGAAACTTTGAAATCTTTACTTAAAGACTAAAGAGTTTTGTAACAGCTATTAATTTAAAGCGGTGATGGGCACTGCCTTGCGCGCGGGCAAAGCTCTTTTAAGCTTCTATACATTTTGTATAGGCGCGTGGAGAGTAAAAGCTCTCCCTCTGCCTATCGCTGCTTTAAAGCCGTCAATTGTATTTAGTTCATAATTCTAAATGAGCATTATTTTTTCGATGACTGTAAGTTTTGGTATAGCAACCACTCTATCTAACGATTTTTATCGATAACAATTTCGTTTTTATAGATAATAGTGGATAATATACACATATATGTCAATAATAATATTTTTTTTATCGATAACCACAATTATACATACCACGATAAAGAAGCAGAGACTGGTAAAGTATAGATACCAAAAACGACTATGCTGTGAACGATACTCAATATTTTGTAGACCTCAATGACGCATTATTTACCTTTATCAATTACGATATCTAACAACGATAATATAAAAAATGACAATATCAATAAAAACAAGACTAGGGCTACCGATAGCTTTACCGTAGCCAACAACTTAACCGATAAACGATATTTTTCGATTTTTAACGATTCTACCATTAGTATAAAAAACACGATACATACGTGCCGGTAAAAATAATAGCACTGTGAGGTACTATGAGGTCTATCAAAGGAAAACTCCAAATAATTTTACTTCTAGTATCTTTTTATTTCTCTAACAAACTTATCATATTATTCCACACTAAATAAAAAAAAAAATAAACTTAATTTAATGCATCGCCAAATTTTTTTAAGTCTTTATATGGAAGTATCCAAAATATGGCGGTAAAAAAAAATAGCACTGAGAATTCGTTATGTCCTTAAAAACTAAAATAAAATATGAACCCTTAATTTTTCATTTAGAAGTGAATGTACATAAATATTAGGCTCCATATTAATACTTAGTAGCATGTCCTTTATTCTTAAGAACGGCCGCACAACGTCTTGGCATGGAGTCAACAAGGTCCTGACATTTCTTTTTTGGAATCTTGCTCCAGGAATCTTTCACTGCCTCCCAAAGTGCTTCTTTACTGGTTGGTCTGGCGTCATGAACTGCCTTCTTGACCTCAGTCCAGAGATTCTCAATTGGATTGAGATCAGGCGACTGTGCAGGCCACTCCATAACATTGATCAAATGATCCCCAAACCACTTTTTTGCCCTCCGACTAGTGTGTTTGGGGTCATTGTCCTGCTGAAAGACCCACCTTAATGGCATTTCCTCTTCGGCGTAAGGGTACATCACTTCCTCTAATATTCTTACGTATACATATTGATCCATGGTTTCTTTGATCCAATATATAGGACCTACACCATTGTAGGAAAAACAAGCCCACACCATTATACTAGTACCTCCGTGTTTAAGTGTTTTTGTAGTGAACTTGGGATCAAATTCAGTTTTCTGGGGCCTCCTAACGTAGTCTCGACCACCTTTGCCACCATAGAGCACAATTTTGCTTTCATCCGTCCAAAGAATGTTCCTCCATTTCCCTACCGGCCAGTCCAAATGATCTTCTGCAAACTTCAGACGCTGTTTCAAATGCTTACTCGTTAATAAAGGAACCTTCCTGGGAGTGCACGACTTTAAACCATTCTCTCTAAGCCGGGAGCGAACTGTCTCTACACATGCCGTGATATTAAGCTCCTTTCTAAGTACAGTTGCTGGCTTAAAAGGGTCTTTTTGGCTTTGCCGAATAAGCCGTCTGACCAGTAAGGGTGACATTACCCGCTTGCGTCCACGTGTTTCTGGTTTTGGAACAAATTTTAATGCATTTCGGATCATTTTGTTGGAACAGCCAACTGTACGGCCCACTTCCGCATAAGTTTTGCCTTGAGAAATTAGTTTTTTTATAATTTCACGTTTTTCGGCGCTGCAATGTTTTCCACGTCCCATAGCTATTCAAAGAGTTTACAAAATTCAACTTTTTACACAAATGAGGTATTAAACAAATTATATTTACCTTTATTCACGGAACAATTTTTAATAAATGTAATGGAAAGATATTTTTCAAACGAAATGCACAGCCAGTGCTATTATTTTTACCGCGTCAAATCGAGTACCACCGAACAAATTACTTGAAGTTGAGAGAACCGTTATTATTTCAAGCAAAACGAAGCACTCTTGAAAAGAGAATTTTATTACCTAACTGTTAAAACAGAAGAAGCCTAAAAATTGTGAGGCTTCAGATTTTTCAAATAGGAATGGAAAGTTCATAGCGGTAGTGCTATTTTTTTACCGGCACATATATCCATAAAATCTATAAAATGCGCTTATTTTACTTTCAAAATTTTCTTTTCCTTAGGTCATTAAGTCGGTGATCTCTTTATTGCGTTACTATGGCTGGAAGAAATTCTCCATTTTGCATGATGAGCTGTGGACCACAGTAGCCGATTTGCTCAAAGAACAGGCCACCAAAAGGAATATGACAATAAATCACAAGGAAGCGTTTCTAACAAATATGCCGAAATGTTGTGCGCTGGGGTTGCCATGTTGTCGCACAAGTTTTTGGTATCAGGTGAGTGGAAAAGCAATTCGAGAATATACATACTTGGGGCAATGACGTCAATGGCGTTCGGTTTGTTTGAGGTTAAACAAATAAAAGTTTGGAGTTTTTCTAAGTTTTCAAAGCTTTCTCCAGTTTAAGGGAAACCACTAAACAGTTTTGAAACCATATCCCAGATTATTTGAGCATAAACCGGGTCATATTAGATTCCATTAAATGAATCTTTGGCGCTAAAACGTCTTCTACGTTTTTGGCCGAGCTTCTCCTCCAATTCGTGGTCTACTTCTTGATGTTGTGAAACAAATGGATCAAAGATCAACACCTTTACTCCACTTCCGAAAAAGCGTTTTTATAGCAGAAGTAGGTACACTCTGAGGTTTGCCATTGTATGTATGCTGAAGGGCGACCGCTTTTTTGATGTTGCAGGGACCAGAAATAGAATCATGGACCTCCCGAGTGGCAGTAGGCTTAACACTTGGCTACTGCGGCGAGACCTCTACTCAAAACTGAAAGAGGTCAGAAAAGATGCACCAAAGTACTTATTAAACCAAATAGTACCAACATTTAATTTTTCACTGATTTTCATTTGTTTTACTTTTAATCTAGAAAGAACTTTGTACTTATTTCGCTATGCTCTTTTCCAAATAAAAGCTTAATAATAGTTTTATGGACATTTTCACTGTATGAAAACTATGTAAATAATGCCGGTGTTTTCTTAACTTCAAAACCATCAACTGTTTTTTTTTTTATTGCAATTTTTCGAATAACTCGAAAACCGGTTTTCGGAAAAAGTCGAATAATCGAACACCCTAGTGTGTATGTAGGTATGTTCATCGAGTGTTATTCAATAACTACATTTTTTAGCGCTGCATATGCAGATAATCCACTTCTCTTTTAATTAACTTAAACTTTCCGTCTACCAAAGCTGTATCGTGTTCTCTATTATCTTAATTGGAGATATGTAGTTCAGCAAAAGTGTTTATGTTTAAATATGCTAAACCTGAACGGCAACAAGCAATTTTATTAATTAACTGCTTTCCTATTCACTTTTGGTGGGCCCTTTAAAACTTTCTACATAAAAGCTGGCAGTCAAAATTTTAAGTACCATAAAATTTTACTATCGCATCTTCAACTTTGCTCATTTTCATTAATTTCCCTCATTCTTATTTGCAGACTGTACAAAATACAATGAATCGCACCCGCATCTATGTATTCCTTGGTTCGGCGAGTTCTCTGGTCGATTTTATGCTTTCCATGGAAACGAGCAATTTGTTCCTTAAAGGTGAATACATGGTCATCTTTGTCGATATGATGCCCTATACACCAAAGTAAGTACTGTTGCACAGACGCAAGCACACACCCATACACATACATACATATGTATACAAAGTCCGTGCTGTCCAAACACACATACACACATACACAGGCATACATTCGCAGCATTATTGAAAGTCACCCATTGTGTGCCTTACAAACGCACTGACACTGTGTAAGCCTTCCAACATATATACTTTGCAATAGCATATCAACCATTTTACTATTTAATTGCAATTCTTTATTTGCGTCTGTTGAGAGTAAATACATATACCGTTAATTGTGCCCTATTTGCAATCTTACCTTTATTTGTTTCTTTTTTCCTTTAATTTCATTGCGCCTCTGCCAACAAAACTCGCCCACAAAACTCAAAAAAAAAAAAAAACAAAAATGGAAATGGAAATGGAAATAACAAATGAAAAAAAACAACAAACAAAATCGAAATACTTCTTTTTAGAGAAGCCGAAAAGTATTTACGCAAACCGGACCATGTTGAGGCGATGAAAGTCTGCCACGAAACGGAGAGTTTCAAGCAGTTGGCGCGCAGTTTGCTAGTCGTGGCGTCTACGCCACCAACGGACAGTTATGAAAATTTCACGGCCAAAGTGCGGGAATACAATGCAATGAAGCCGTTTGATTTTCTTGTGCCATCGTTATTTTACAATAATAAATATCTTAAGGTGAGTGTGGACTGAGCATATATATGACATGTACCCATGTGTTTTTATATTAAAAAAATATATACATATATGTATATATATACTATATATATATACATATAAAGGTCGCTCAAAGCGCGCAAAGTTATTCATTATTTTTTTTTCACAGAAATGGTATAGAATTCTCGAAGTTCAATATTTTTGGATCGGAAGGCTTGTTTTTCCGCCATATAAAACTCACGAGAGTTTTGAGCGACCTCTAAGGTAAAGTTTTTTTTTGATATAGAACAATCCGAGTGGGTAGAGCATTGAAATTACGACATTGCCTTTTCACATGCATTTTTTCGCCACCCTAAGATACATTCATGTAGATACATGTGGTTAAAAGTATGGTACAATAATTACAGGTATTGTCTTCCCAGAGAGCGCATATTCCGATCTGCCTTATTTGGAAAATATCATTGCTGCCCACACTAAAACGTCTACTGCTAGGGAAATGGGATATTTCCATACCCCATATACCATATACATATGTACATGTATTTTTTTTAAACAAACCATCTTGCAGAGAACTTATTTAATTTGCAAAAGCCGGAAAAAAATATTTGCTTGTACATAAATAAATTCAAAATTTGTATGGTTCACTTCATTTCAAAAGTTTTTTCTTTTGTTTTGAAAAGTGATAAAAATTAAATGGAGCGAATACAAAAAGCAAAGCCAAATAAAAATAAAAGAATCAACATTGAACTGCGACAAAATGAAAATAAGAGAGCACAAATTTCGATGTGAAGCAAAACTCTCGGGGAAGACAATACCTGTAATTATTATACCATGGTTAAAAGCAAAATTCAATTTGAAGTTCAAAACACTAGGCGTACTTCGAAAAAAAAGGCCATTGCTGTCGGCCAATGTTGCGTTGGCGTTTTAAGAAAGTATACATATTCATGTACATACATACATATGTATGTATGTATGTATGCTTGTACATAATCAAATAAACTTTCAGGTCTTCCTTTAATTTTCGTTGAAATTGAGCGTCAATTATTTCAACAGCCGCCTTCCGAAGAATTCATGTATAATTGCAGTAGCTACGAGAATTCACTTTTAGGTACTAGAAGTAAAAAAATGCGACAGCTATGCTAATTGGCCAAGTTTTAGCAATTGCTCGCTAAAACTCAGGCGCATAGTGCGTAATTTGGGTGATTTAGAGCAGGCTTTCCCAAAGTGGGTGCCGCTAGTGGCAGCAGCTTCGCTTCGCAGTGAAGACAGCACTTTGAATATTAAATACTACGAAGGGAGCCAACAGAGTTCTGGATGCAAGTGTATGCAGAATACACTGCTGCTGGCAAGATTGCATTCAAAATACTAGTCACTTTTACTTTTATATTTCTATACGAGACTGCGTTTTCAACAAATGCTTACATAAACAAGTAATTTTTAAGCAAAAAACAAAACCGACTTTAATTCCCATGATGCAATTATCGGATTTAAACCAAATTAGAATAGGACCACCTTTGCTTTAAAAAGGAATTATAATAATCGGTTAACGTAGTCCAAAGTTATGCGGTAGCATACATAAAAAAAAATTAAATTGTAAAAAAATATTCCAACGAATTGATAACCTTCTCCTTTTTGTGAAGTCGGTTAAAAACAAATACACCAGCAAGCTTTCAGCGTCAAATGATTTAAGGGTAAAACTGTCATAGCTGTCATCGAAACAATTTCAGTCCTCATATTAATGGTAAAGGAGCTTAAAGTTTGCATTGTGTTTTCTTGTTTTCTTAGACCTCTGAAGAGTAGGGGTGCCGCGAATTTTTTTTTAGCACAACAAGGGTGCCGCGGTGAAAAAGTTTGGGAACCCCTGGTTTAGAGGAAGGAAAACCGAAAATCGAAGTTGGTAAAAAAAGTTGATATAATAGAAAATCGGTCCCCAATTGTTTGAAGATAAGCTGGAAGAATGCTGAGCTTGTACAAACATGCCTGTTTAATCGAACGATAATCGCCAATTTTCCGGCCTTTATAAATCTGTGGTCCTATCCGTCTCATTTCCTAACGCGATTACAGTCTTGGGTATACTTCTCGTTTTACACAATGTAAACTTAAGTAAAAACATAATTTTGCAATTTTAAATGCCATCCTTACACATCAATTGCGCTCCTTTAGTTTTGAAAAAAGGGGTTTCACTTTTTTCATTTAAGCATATAAATTGCGTGTCAGTGTGTGTCGATCGGATCTCTTCAGGAACTTTAATCGATCATCTGTATATCAAGGTCCGTAGTAGGAATTTGCACAATTTAAAAAAAAAATATGTCGATTTAAAGTCAACTTTTGGTAAAGAAATCGCATTTTTTGTGTATTTTTGGCTACAAAAATTTAGTGATCGGGATTGTTCTCATGTTGGGGTGGGAGCGAAGAATGCTGTTTAAATAAAATATGAAAAAATAGTTGTTAAACTTAAACCCAGATATGCGACAAAAAGTGTATCGCATACTCGTATTTTACATCGTATATCTTCTGCGATAAACGGTCTACGCAAGCGATATATCTCCATATACCAGGCGAATTCATATTACAACAAATACATCATTTTGACATTAATAAGTACCGCGGCGAAAATCTAAATTCGCCATCAACACCACCTTGTATATATTCGCCTTGGCAGGTGCCATCAAATACCTGCTATGGGCGCTCGCATACGAAACATCGTAAGATATATATCGCTTGCGTATGCCGTTTATCGCAGTAGATATACGATATAAAATACGAGGTATGGCTACGGTGACCATAAATATAGATTCAAAATGAAGGACAATTTTTCATAAATACGCCTACATATATTTACGTAGTACAAAAATATCAAAAGAGTATTTATGATTCTAAATTCTTAATACATTTTAAACTTTAAAAACGAATCACCTTTTCTTCAATCTATTTTTAGATGAATGTTTATAAAAGTAAACGAAAACAATACCCTTTTTTTTGTTTTTTGATACTTTTCGAAGTTATTTGTCAAAAATCGACATCATGAATCGACGTAAACGACGAGTTATAAAGGTATTTATGTGCCCTTTACAAAAATATATAATTTGTGCAGATTGCGCTTCATGGCATCTACATTTCTAATCCGATTTTCATTATCTTTGGCTCAAAATGTACTGAGATTGGTTCATGAGATATTGAAGAAAAGTTACGAAAAGTACCAAAAAACACTTTTTTGAAAAAATCCATCCATTGTCCGATAATTTTAAAATAACGAATAAAATGCGGGACAAATGCAGGACATTTGGAAAAAATTAGTACATTTTCAGGTTTTTTAGGTTTGAAAAACTACGCAGGACCGACCTTTGAAAAACAGTACGGTCCTGCAAAAAACAGAACGGATGGTCACCGTAGGTATGGCATACTTTTTGTCGCATATCTGGGTTTAAGTTTAACAACTATTTTATTCATATTTTATTTTAACTCCGAGTAAGAGAGATGTGGTGTAATTCGGAGAAGTGCTGTTAAAGCACAACCCACATTTATAAAACATAAAAAACATATTCGCACTGACATGATATGCGATGAAATGCCAACGGTCAAAAATTTATCTACGGTAAGATCTCGTATGCGAGAAAACAGATGTAGATTTGTGTGTCGGCTCGTGGAGGCTGTAAGATCTCTTCTCTTGACACATCAGCAATCGGTGTTCAATTTGCGGTTTTACTAGCTCCCAAGCGATCATTTCAAAATTATAAAAAAATAAGCTTATCTTCATCTTCTTCATCCATAGGACTTTTGTCTATGTTCCAAATATATCTTTTTTGCATCATATATTTCAATTTCCATGTAAAACAACATATAATTCTCTATAGTGAAATATTTGTTGCACATAGTGAATAGCCTTAATTTTGCTTATAAAATAAAGTTAAATTCTGAGATATGAGAAAATAGCCAAATACAAAAAAAAAAGTAAATCTTAATTTATGGAAACACTGAAATTGTTTAAATTTGCACTACAATAAAGTCATACAATTCAATGCAAATTTAAAATGAACAAAAGTTAAATTTTTTGTATGGAATTAAGATTTGTGTTTTGGAATTATAAAACTTATCTCATTGTTCAAACAGAAAAACTTCCAAATTGTGCACTTGACAAAAAATTTCACGTATTTAATTAGGCGCGTGGATTACAATTGTAGTCCAATCGTATTCAACTGTGGCTAAAAGTGGTAAATGTGGGCCTAGCCCCTCAATTTTATACTAAGTGAGTACTTTTGTATATCATCGACAGCTTTTTGTTTATTACTATGTCACAAATTTTAACGAAATCGGTCAATAAATACGGGCTTTCAAAATATTTCGACCCCGGGGGCACATAAGCGTTAAATTTTTGGCGCAAATATTCCTGCATATGCAACCAATATACTTTGAAAAAATAAACCAGATTCGACCATAAATAACATAGTACATATGTAGATATATAACTTTTAATTTTTAATAACTAAAAAATAATAATTTCTAGAGCAAAAATTGTGGGCGCTATGATTTTCCTTCCCGTAAATCGGCGAAATTACGCACTGTGCGACGCACGCCTTTGTCAAACAACAAACAAATAAACTGCCAATGTTAAAAGTCATGTCAAGTAACTAGAGGTGCGCCATTGCCCGAGGAGCAATAACATTTGGCCTGAATGTTGATGGTTGTCTTTGTTGACAATGAAGGTGCCTATAAGTATGCTAACAAGGAGTCAATTGTTTTCATTGCTGAGAGCAGTAAGTAAGAGAGAAGTAGGGAGGGAGAACACAATTAAAAACAATGGCATACTTGTCTGCTGTTAGTCGCACCATTTAGATATGCTTCATGCATAGAGAAGAGGCAGATTTGTACAGCAATTATTGGTGTTTTTTGATGTGAAACATCTTTGCCTGCGGTGTGAAGTCGCCGTGGAGTATTTTTTAAAGAGAATGTTGAAAGCAATGCTAATTCGTATGTATGTGCCCTGTTGCAGGGTTTACAAACATGTAGAAACACGAGTACTAGGCCTATTTCCACGAAATGTCAAAACTTGCCCAAGTGACCTGTTCGATTAAAAATATGCCGCAAAATCATGTTGACAGTTCAATCGCTCGAGAAATCCCTAAAGGTTTTAAAGCTAGTGATGTGCTGTATTGCCGGTACCCAATACAATAATATACAGAGTAAAAATGTATCAACTGGGACGCTCAAAATTTGAAATAATTATCCATCGATTATTTTATTAAGTTTAGATAAGTATTTGGCTCTAGTGCAAAACGTGGTCCAAAGTCATGCGGTAACATACATAAAAAAAATAGAAATATTCCGACGAACTGATAACCTCCTCCTTTTTCGGAAATCGGTTAAAAATATAACCACTTAAGGATAACCTGATAACCAGACAGGTGTGAGCACCTACAATGTGTTTTCATCCCCTTTAAAATATAACTTATTTTTTGTGGCATATTTTTAGGCGAAATCATTATGACAGTAGTCACGAGTTATATAATAAAATTATGCTCAAATACTTACATATGTATTGATTAGCACATCGATAATTTCATCGGAAATTATATGGAAGTCAATGATATCAATAAAAAAAACGAATCATAATTTTTATTTATCTGACGCCAGTGTCGATAAACAAGTATATCGATATTATCTATAGATTAACTGATAACATTATCGCTAGATATATCGATAATCGTTAATTTATTATTTTATTTCCGTTTTTCTTTTGCAGTTTGTTTCTATATATGCCGCTTACCTCTATGATTCCGTTAAGCTCTATGCCTGGGCATTGGATAAATTGCTGCGCCAGGAGGAGCGCATACTAACGGATGATGTGATATACGATGTAGCTAGTAACGGAACTAGAATAATTGAGACTATTATCAAAAATCGTACTTATAGAAGTAAGTATGAGCACCGAAAAATATTACAAATCAAAATTTTTAACGACTATCTATAATCATTAGCAGAGACTTTTTGGTGACGCTTGAACACATTAAAATGAAAGCTAGACACAAATTTTCGTTAGCTTAAAAAGTGATCGTACATGTTTTTGTAATATTAAAAACGCAACATAAATTTTTTGCAATTTAAAACAACTAAAATTGTATGTCCAGCTTTTAAAGGACCAAAAATTATGGTCCTAATTTTAGAAGGCCAAAAATTATGCCCAGTAAATTAACAAATATAACCATATGTCTAGTTTTTAAATTGACCAATTTTTTAATGATATAAAATTTATGTCCAATTTTTAAATGACAACGAAATTTTATTGGCCAAAAAATATGTCCAGCTTTTTCATGATCAAAAACGTATGGCGTTTTAAATAAACCAGAAATTATGCCCAGTTTTTAAACCAGCAAAAATATATGTCCACACTGGACTGGCGTTCAGATTTGAATGATAAAAATTTTACTTATGTCCAATTTTTATTAACCAAAAATAATGCCCAGTTTTTCAATGATGAAGAACTTATGGCCGTGGGCATATTTTTGGTTAATAAAAATTGGACATAAGTCAAATTTTTATCATTCAAATCTGAACGCCAGTCCAGTGTGGACACATATTTTTGCTGGTTTAAAAACTGGGCATAATTTTTTGGTTTATTTAAAAAGCCATACGTTTTTGATCATGAAAAAACTGGACATATTTTTTAGCCAATATATATATATGCACATTTACTAGATATTCATTAATTTATGTTAAATTAAAAAAATGTACATACTTATAGCTTATATAAAATAAAATTTACACTTTTACTTGTCTTCCTTCCAATGTCAATCAGGTATCACTGGTGCCACGATTAAAATAGACCAGAATGGTGATTCCGAAGGCAATTTTTCAGTACTGGCATATAAGCCACACAAACACTATTTTAGTGATAATGTATCCTGTAATTCTCATATGGTGCCGGTGGCCTATTTTCAACAAGGCGAAGATATTCCAGTGAGTGAGTCGTCATTTTTTTCGTTTCTTTTATTATTAGTTTTCCCTTTTTAGTGTGAATAAAATGTATGTAATTATGTACATAACTACATAAATCCACTCTAAGCCCGTTCATTTGTCACTTAAAATTATTTTTTCTTACTTTTTTTGCCACACCACAGGAATACAAGCTTATCAATGGCTCTGTGCGCGTTGATTGGCCATCGGGCGGTGATCGTCCCTTTGATGAGCCGATGTGTGGCTTCGCCAATGAGCTGTGCAAAAAGGACGATCGACATATCACATCTGTGGTAGCGGCTGGTGTACTTGGCTTACTGTTATTTTGCGCTGGTGTCATCACTATGAGCATTTATCGAAAATGGAAAATCGAGCTGGAAATTGAAGGTCTATTGTGGAAAATTGACATATCAGAGATAAAGGGGTACTCGGGGAATGATATCGTCTCATCGCCAAGCAAGGTGAGTGATGGTAGTGCAAAAACCCGTATTGAGGACATGCAGAAGTAAAAAGTCTTTCGTAAGACAAATGAAAGACTGATGGCAAGATAGTTCGAAAGATATTTGTTATTCTGGCACAATAGTCTTGGAAAAAAAGCTCTCTCGTTCACCATTCGTGATGAAAAGTTATTTGGTTATATTTTTTGTTTTTATATCATTCAACGCTGTGGCCGAGTGAACGAACCACAGGCGTGCCGTTCCAGAGATCTGAGTTCGAGTCTAGGTCAGCGATATTATTTATTTGTATTTTTTACTTAAATTTTTTCAGATATTGTTTCAATAAGAAATATATACACTTTTTTTTTGTTTTAGAAACTTATTTTATTTTATTTTTTTACTTAATTTTTCTATTAATTTCCAAAAAGAATATTTTTTAATTTCGTCACATTTTTAAGCACTTATTTTATTTTGATCTTTTTTAAATATTATTCTTTTTTTTTAGTTTTACTTTCTTTTAATTTTTAGAGTTGATCGTTATTAAAAGATTTTTTTCTATTACAATTAAATTTTTTGTAATTTCATTTGTTTTTTTGTTGTTTATTGTTTAATCAAATTTTTAGGATCTTGTTTTTTTTACTTTCTTGTCTTTTTTAATTCAATTATCTTTTAATTTTTAGATTTAGTTTTAAAAAGAAAAATACATTTTATGTTTTTACTTTTAAGTTTTGTTTTCGTCTTTTTTGATTTATTTTTTTAATTAAACTTATTATTTAATAGTTTTCAAAAGCGTTTTTTTTTTAATTTCATTCAAATTTCTAAAAATATTTTTATATAAATTTGCTTCGTTTTCATTTAATTTTTTATTTGCTTTTGTTTTACTTATTAGTTCTTCTTGTTGTGAAAGGAAAAATATACATACATATACATATATTTAATTTAATTTAATTTTTAAAATACTTATTGCTTAAAGGCCAATAGCATAACGCTAAGATCTTTCAATTAGTCTTTCGAAAGACCGTAAAGAGCTATCAAGATAGTTTTTTCAGAATTGGAAATCATCTTACGAAAGACTGATGAGTCAAAAGACAGTTGCCTGTTGAATTGTCCTGTAAGCGTTTTGTATGGTACACGCTGGCGTATGTGCAACCTTTAGTTTATTTTCGCTCCTATTTACATATCGACCGTATTTTGGCAAAACCTCGTATCTCAGACATCACTACTACTTCGTATCTCGTAAAATTAATTTAAAATAGGCTGGGATATGCTACAATTCATTATACATATATTATTCTTAATTAAATAAAAAGTATTTAATCTTTAATATTCAGTAGAAAAAAAGTTATTAAAAATGATTTTCTGTTATTAATAGAGATTCTTTTTTGTTAAAGATATGAGGTTTTGAAAAAGTACCGTCGATATGTACATATGTATGTATGTATGTATTTTGTTACATCATTATTTGAGTAGGCCTATACTCAAAAAAAAAAGTCAGCTAAATATATTTCTGTAAACACATGCTTTGGTAACTATGTATAACCAAATAATGTAACCATAACCGAATAATGTGTTGAGAGAAAAATATTTTGTTGACATAACTAAACTGTTTTCTCAGTGTAAATGATTTCATGTGCTTAGAATGAGTCTCCTGTAATTTTAAATTGGTTAATGAAATAATTTTTGATTTATGTATGTTGCTCACAGGCTATGAATAAGCTTTTACCGTAGACCCTACGAAGCTATCGTACAACAGCATTAATTTACATACATACACAAAGAAAGTTGGGCAAGAGCACCGTCTAAATTGCTCTCAAATCCTGGCCATTCTACTTGGAGTTTTTCATTTAGAGGAAAACCGATTAATTTTTAACCGGCTTATATTTTTTTATGTATGCTACCGGATAACTTTACACCACGTCAACCGTTTTCGACAAGTTTTATCGGAAAGGTGATACCTCAAGGCTAGTCCCATAATAATTTAGCTTAATTTCAGTCTTTGTATCGGTACTCCTATATTTTTATATGATAAAAATAAAAATCGGAGCCAATATCTTTTTTTTCAAAAATGCTGTAAAAACAGATTCGCAGCTATACGCCTTAAGTAATCGTTACATAAACTTGCGTAGCAATACAGCTTTTATTGTAGTTCAATTAAATTTAAATTAATCCGTTGCGACAACAGCCACTCTTTGCGATTTCTCTCATATCTTTGTTCTACTGTTGTCCTAACCAATAAATATTTACGCATCATGGCCGATTTCATTGTCAACAGTTTGTCGATTGAGTCGTGGTAAATGGAAATTTTTTACATCTTCTGCTTGAATACGCTCACAGCTTCATTGCCTTCACGCACACACGTTGCGATTCGGCCTCTCTAGGAACGTGACAATTTCGTCGCACCGTTGCTAGAGGCGATGCACCTCAATACAAATCTATGTACATATGTGTTTGTGTAAAAAAACATACATATGTATGTATGTATGACTATGTAAATTTGTTTACACGCGTGCATGCACCAAGAGGCACTTATGTAAATTGCGCACAGCAATTTCGGCTTTCTGCAGTGTGGCAGCGTCCAACAGCCTAGGCCTGCAGCAAAGAGATCTGTTTGCTCGGCAGCTAACCAAAAGAAAAATAAAAGGACGAAAATTGCATTCACATGAAGAACGAATCTGTGTTTAAACTCAACACGTTGTGGGCGTCAATGCCGTAAGCCTTCCAACCTAACCCCTTTCTCACAGGTTCGAGAATTTTGTTGGCTATGTGCGAACGTGCAATTCTAAGTAAATTTACATAAGAAACCATGGGTCTAAAATCAATTTGGAGTTGGCCAAATTACGAAAATAGGTTTCGAAGAAAATGTGAAAATTTTTACTGTTGCGCCCTCTGGTGGAAATTGAAAAAAAAGTACCAGAAAAACCCCTTATAGCATATTTTTATACAAAATTTGAGCACATCTATTTACCACTCTACAGCAAAATGACAAGAAACCATGGTTCCTTCGGTAAATTTGCTTAGATTTATACGTACAATCCCTCTGTTCGATACACTCATAGTCGAAAAAATTTCCCCATACAAAGTGACCCGCCGTAATATACATAGTTTATGGTTGGTCTAAAAACTGCATATATGGGAATGCTTCGTTAATTAAATTGATAAGTATATTAGCAACATCGATAATTAATTAAAAAATATGTCGATAAACATAGCGGCAAATGTAATAAAAAAAATTGAATCTGCCTTATCCTGAGTTTCGCCTGGAGAAAATTCACCCGAAAATTGGTCATCCGCCCATGTAAAACCATGTAAACCAAAAGTGAAAAGTGAACCGGTTCGGGGAAAATGAAACTCATGATAAGGCTGAATTATTTAAAATAAAGCTGTCAATAACATTATTAGTGGTGACATCGATAAATATGTCGATTATGAGAAATTCGAATGCAGATTAAAACGGTACAATGACTGTGAAAAAAAAAATTACAGCACATGGAATTTAACGATCTCCATAAGTTTATTCATATCAACTTCGATCACCATATTGATAAACATTTAGTCTGTTTCTTAGACTTATACTACTCATATTCCTGACTAAATTCTGTAAACAGAACTAGTAAAGGAACATACTAATAAAAATAAAACTGCAATATCGATATAGAATTATACTAGGGTGTATCACTCTCCATACAAAAAAAGGATAGCGTTTTTGGTAGTGTCCGACCGAACTCGATTTTTTGGCCGAAACCGAACGCTCGGTTTTTCCACACTCCACACTGATTTTTTTCTAAATTCACTTGTTTATTGTGTTTCATTAAAAATTAGGCACATTAATATTTTATTTTTAGCACTTAATATTAAACAATTTTATATTCGGGCAGGTTCTGCAATTCACTTTCGAGTGAATTTGAACCCCTGCCAATTTGAATTCAAAGCGCACTTGACTCAAATTCACCGGGAGTGAAATGCAGAACCTGTCGGATTGTAAAATGAATATAAAAGTTAAATTCGCATTTTCACCGCTCGGTCGGACACTAGTTTAGTTAAAATTTATTGTACTAGAGTTCACTCTTTAAGGCAAAACTGCGTACGTTTGAGTGAAAGGGAGAAAATGTGAAATAGTCGACAGTTTTTTACAATAAACATATGGTTTCGCACTTTTAGTTTCGCACAAATGCACAGCTGGAACCCTAACTGAAATGCAAAGGCAAAAAAACTGTGCCAAGTTGTTCTGATCGTACATTGTTTCGGCAGTTAAAACGACAGCACAAACGAAGTGCAACGAATATTTGAGACCGCGTTGCGGCTGAACTGTCTGAAATTTCGCAGCCAAAGCAAAAACACTGTTCACGCATCAAAGAGTGAACTCTTGTTATATTTTAAGATTTTCGACAAAATATTTCAGAAAAATATTAAGGTATACATGAGAAAATCTCACTTTTTCGTTTTTCGACAAAATCGTGTTTTTGGTGGAAAATGGTGGCGCATTTATCTTTAGTTTTGCATAAAGTACAAGATTCTATCGCGAAATTTAAAATGAAAACTTAAAGAATATATATCTACTAAAAAAAAAGTCAAAATAAAAACTCGTTTTCATATACATGTAGTTTTGTATGTAACGTATACGCCCGGTAGCACCATACACAGTTAGCTAACGTGTTCACTCGCCCACGGATATGTATACACATATCGTCTCTTTTGCGCAAAATTATCGTATGTTACATTTTTTACGAAATTCACTTTTAGATGCAACTTTGTTTTACAACCCATAGCGCATCACCTGTTCAAATATAACGGCTTAAATCCCAATAGCTACCCCAAAAACTGACTGTAAATTTGATCGTATGTGACAATGAATATGTTCTTGTAAGCAAAATTATCATATTAACTGCTGAGTGGAAGATCGACCTATCTCAGAAAAATTTTCAAGAACGCCTTATTTCAGAATTTTATTGAAAAACATCCTATCTCAGAATTTGTTTGAAGAACGCCCTATCTCGGAATTCGGTTCAAAAACGCCCTATCTAACTTCGAAATGAGATAGGGCGTTTTTGAAAGGAATTCTGAAACAGGGCATTCATCAAAAAAATTCTGAAATAAGGCGTTCTTGAAAAGTTTTTTGAGATAGGGCGTTTTCGAACTCGCTGCCGAGATAGGTCGATCTTCTACTCAGCAGTTGATATGTGCTAAGCAATTAGAATGTAGAGACCTTTCTACAAAAAAAAAAATCTTGCGTTTAGTTATATTTCTCAGCAACTTCGAGTGTGCCAATAAAAACTGTAAAATTGGAATTTTTAGTTTCGCAAATCATCGCCATCTTATAACCAATGTAATTGTTTTCATTTGGTGGCACACTAGTTTTATTACTCTAGTTTGGTTAGCTTTCGCAAGAACATTTTCACCGTTCAATGTTGGTTTTTTGAAATATCTTAAACTTTTAAAATTGAAAAATTATTAAATATCCAAAAATTACAAGATAGCTGCGATAGATGTTCTGCATAGTGCCATTTTTGTTTTTAATTTGGTGGCACACTCTTAAAACTTCACAGATATGCTGTATTTGCTGCCAACTTTCATTGGCCCTAACATGAACGTTCTATTTAAAATTTCCCAACGTTATAAAAAGAAGGTAAAATTGTTCAAATACTTGATTTATTCTGTATTGTACTTGTTTCTGGAAACCCATTGATTGAAATAAATACAAAAAGAATGGTTTAGCTGAGAAAAAGGAACGACACTGAAAAAAAAACTCGTGAGATTTGGTCACATACGTGATTTGGTCCGATTTGATAATAACTCCAAAAATCTCATTATTTTGATTTCGTTGATAATATGCTCAAATATTTTTATGCAGACCTTTTGAGTTTAAGCTCTTCTATCATCTGAGATGATTGTTTGGGAATTTGATTTTTAAAAACTAATTTTAGTTATAAAAAAAATTGACTTGTCTTGACTTGAATATGTCTAACGAATTTAACATGGCAATGTCATTGAAGTGTACCGAGAGCGTGCGCGTGTTTTGTCCTTTCGCTAGCGATTACCTGGTGCACAAGTGACGATTACTAATCGTAGCGCATTGCCTAATGACCAGTTATGCATACGTCGCATAACCTGTCGCTAGCGAAACTTGGGTTAATATGGGTTTTGTTAGAGAAAGAACTATATTTTAATTGAAAATTCTTCAAAATAAATAAATAAACATAAGTGGCACACAATATCACTTTGAAATGGCGTGCTATAGATATGACCGATAATGTACAACGATACAAATAAATCGTTAGTTATACCGCTATAATCGCTTAATCATATTCACACATGGCGATGAATATACCGATAGCAATAATCGATAATTTTTCATCAATAACGAGTAAATAATTCAAGTAAAAAAATTTTGCTTAAAAACAACCTTTCTAACAAGAAACTCTGATGAACCATACTCACATTCATTTTCTTGTAACTCGTCTATGTATGTACATATGTATGTATGTACCTGTTTCCACTATCCCTATTTGTAGTTGCTTACCTCAGTCATATGATTCCTCATCGCTCACCACAGAAAAATACGATGAAGACTTTCTTCTTCATTGCTCGCTTAATTGCACAGACCCCATTAGCATCCACTTGCTGCAACCTTTGTCACCGCATCACTAACTCCTCTTGATTATCCTTTCTGATCTCGTTAACATGTCACTGCTGCTGCCATCAACCAACCAACCAACCATCCAACCTACTGATGAACACGAAACAAAAACACGCCGTTCGACAACAACCCACAACCAATCCAACCGTCAATCTGCAATCATTCGATGTCGCTCTAATGACCGCCCTAACGACAACCGCAATGTCGTCAATCGCCCTTCAATGCTGGCTCATTTGGCACGACCTCAACTCAATATGACGCGCTCGAATGCCTATAAATGGTGTGCATTGTTCGGCAATGTCAACAACAAAAATACATTTAACAACCGCAACAAAAACAACGCGCCGGCAAACAGTTGAGCTTAGTGAGTGCCCAATCGTTTGGTTCACGTTGCTCAAATCAAGTATTCACTTCGACGGCACGCCTACGCGGCGCTGTTGTACGCATCAAAGAGTTGAAGTTCCCACGGAAGCGGGACATCTCGCGCGAAATAATGAAAGAAATGCGTTTGCTGCGCGAACTACGCCATGATAATATAAATAGCTTTATTGGGGCTTGTGTGGAGCCGACACGTATACTACTAGTCACCGATTACTGTGCCAAGGGCAGTCTCTATGATATAATCGAGAATGAGGACATCAAGTTGGATGATTTGTTTATAGCTTCTCTGATACACGATTTAATTAAGGTGAGTATTGCATAGTGTACGTAACGGAGATTTTCGTATATTAATCCTTCTATATTATAGGGTATGATATATATACACGATTCGCAGCTGATGTATCATGGAAATCTGAAATCGTCGAATTGTGTGGTGACCTCTCGATGGATGTTACAAGTAGCCGATTTCGGTTTGCACGAGTTGCGAAATTGTGCGGAGAGCGAGTCGATAGGAGAGCATCAGCACTATAGAAGTAAGTGTTGGAGGTTTAATTCATTAAACGCTGGGGATTTTGAGCGCTTAAAGGTGAAAAAAATCGTCTGAACGGCAATATTACAATTTTTTGGTTATATATTTAGACTTAAGTAGTACGCTTTCTTTACCACAAGGGTGGAACTCAGAGTATTACAAACCTTTTAGACTTAGCATAATTATCCTGTTACTTCTCAACAGGCTTATAAATATTGGAGACGGTCAAACTATCTGGTGAATTTAAGTTTTCGAAATTTGAAGACTTGCTTGGAAGACCGTAATGCTTATAGTTTTCCGTAGACGTAATCAGAACATCAGAAACTTCGCGGCAAATTTTTTGCTATCTTAAATCTTTACTCTTTCGTACTATCCTTATACCTATAAAACTCACAATTTTTTCTCAAAATTACCAGATCAATTTTGGAAAGCACCCGAATTGCTGCGCAATCCACACATGTATGGCACGCAAAAAGGGGATGTTTATGCCTTCGCCATAATTATGTACGAAATAGTTAGTCGAAAAGGTCCATTCGGGCAGGTAGCCTACGAACCAAAGGAAATTGTCGATCGCGTGAAGGAGCTGCCATTAGCTGGCAGTATACCCTTTCGTCCCGAGTTGGAATGCATACGCGAACACGAATTGTGCCCTGATTATGTGCTGGACTGTATAAAAGATTGCTGGAGTGAGGATCCGGAGATAAGACCTGATTTTCCGACTATACGGTAAGACCGTCGATAAATAGTATTCTTGGTAAAGCTCAGCAATTTTAATTCTTGCTTTTTTATACATATCTCTAATGTTCCTCTATTTTGTTTAGCAATCGTTTAAAGAAAATGCGTGGTGGCAAGACGAAAAATATTATGGATCAAATGATGGAAATGATGGAGAAGTATGCCAACAACTTGGAGGATATTGTGACTGAGCGCACGCGTATGTTGTGCGAGGAGAAGCGCAAAACAGAAGATTTATTGCATCGCATGTTGCCGCGCACTGTGGCGGAGAAGCTGACAATGGGGCAAGGGGTCGAACCAGTGTCCTACGATTTGGTAGGCGCATTTAAAATGATTCAACGCAAGGGACTCCGGTTTTTATATAGTTTTTTGTTTTCGTTTTTTTTTTTCGCAGGTCACGATCTACTTCAGCGACATTGTGGGCTTTACTGCAATGTCAGCGGAGAGTACTCCACTGCAAGTGGTGAATTTCTTGAACGATCTCTATACGGTTTTCGATCGTATCATACGCGGTTATGATGTGTACAAGGTGGAGACCATTGGCGATGCCTACATGGTGGTAAGTTTTATCTGGAGATTTTCTACTTCATGCAAAATACCCGAATTTAAAAGCGCGTTCACCTAATATGATCATTATCTAATTTCCCTTAAAGGTCTCAGGTCTGCCAATTAAGAACGGCGATCGACACGCAGGTGAGATCGCTTCCATGGCACTGGAGCTGCTGCATGCGGTCAAACAGCATCGCATAGCACACCGTCCCAATGAGACGCTCAAGCTTCGCATTGGCATTCACACGGGGCCCGTGGTGGCCGGCGTTGTAGGTTTGACAATGCCACGCTACTGCCTCTTCGGCGACACAGTAAACACCGCCTCACGCATGGAGTCCAACGGCGAAGCGTTGAAAATACACATATCAGGAAAGTGCAAGGAGGCACTCGACAAGCTTGACGGCTATGTGACCGAAAGACGCGGGCTGGTGGCGATGAAGGGAAAGGGCGAGGTGGTCACATACTGGCTAACAGGCGCCACAGAGAAGGCCATACAGAAGAAACCAGTCGACATGACTGACATGCCGCCGCCTCTATTCTGCCGACCGCGCAAGAGCCCAAAGCTGAATAGCGATTCGCGGCAACCGAGCATCGTAGGCATGCACTACTATGGCGCTGGCTCGCGGCGCACATCGATGGTGCCACGCACCGATATCGAGTCCAATTATAGTTTGCAAGGTTCCACATATCATGTAGCACGCGATTCACCTTACCTGTCGTCGCGTCGTAACGATCGGCCGTCGCTGAATGGCATTGGCGGCAACAGCATACCGGAGCGAATGAGCTACTATGGCGGCTACGGCGGTGCGGGCGCCAGCGGCGGCCGGAGTGGGAGTGTCGGCGAAACTTGCACGCTGCTCGAGTCGGCGCACGGTTCACGCAACACGCTGGAGCATTCCGAAAACGAAACGAACTGTGATAATGAGTGCGTAAATGGGTATGGTGCGGATGGTGATGGTGATGGTGATAATTATAGCGGTGGTGTTGGTGGCGGCAGTGGCGTGATAGGTGGCAGTGGTAGCGGGAGTTGTGGCATTGGCGTAGTGAGCATCATTGGTGGTGCGCTGCCGGTAAGCGCACATCGTGCGGCACACTCCGCTGCCAGCTCACCGAGCCACAAACCGCTTGCGCTAGTGCGTCCCCATCGCCGTATTATAAGCGAAAGGCTAGCCTCCTCACCCTCCGTACAAGAGTTCAGTGATATAAGTCGGCATCCGACGGTAGCGCAAACCATACTACTGCGCGAGACACGCTCCCTCGACCCCATGCCAATGCAGTTGCGTAAGAGAAACGAGCCCGTCAAACTGCCGCCGTCCAAACTGTGTAAGAACAACTCGCGCTCCTTGGATGCCGTGGCGGCGCTCGGTGCGAGAGAGAGCAAAAACAACGATTCAGAAAACGCGAATATAAATGGTATAGAGTGTGACGAAGTCGTCGATGGTGTGGCCCCATTGGTGGAGCACGGAGCTACTGCGAACGCTGACACAAACAATATGGACGGCGAGGACTACGACGACGATGTCGGCCTGCTGATGCGTGATAATGGCGGCCTCCGCCGTCGCGGGCACAGTGGTAGCCTACAACCGACTGTGGTGCCCGTCGCATCCACGCTGTTAAATCGTCGACGCAGTGGTGGGCACGTTATATCCGGCGGCAGCCTTAGTGTCGGTATTGGAGTCGCTGGCGGCATGCTGCTGCCCTACAAGCACCTCAACAACAACTGCAATGGTGGCATGACCATAGAAGAAGACGCGCAATCACCGTTGCTTCAACGACAGACCTCACTCACCAGTCCGCCCGATGAAATTCTTGCGCTTACGAAACGTTGGCGTTCACTGGAGACACTTGAAAATGTCAGAATCGGTGATGCAATGCTGGTGAACTCTAATAGTGGTCGTGGTATGCTTGGTGGCACCACGCACATCTGCGGACACGCCGCGCACAACAGTGTCAGCTACGCGCCCGACATTGATGGGAGTCGTGCATCCGGTTCAGCGGCGACATGTGCAACGACAGCGACACGCAGCGGTAATACATTCACTACGTGGATTTGGCGCATCATACAGGGTAACAGTAAGCGGGCGAGCGAATCGTCGTTGCGGCGCGTGGTGCCAAGTGGTGTTCACGCGCCGCATGTGTTCACCGATATGCCCGCAGCAACGGCGGCGCGTACGCGTGATCGAGAGAGCATTGTGTAGAGAGTTACGATGGTGGGGAGAAAATAGATTTTGATTTGTATTGTAATAGTATGTGTGGCGTGTTGAAGAGAAAAGTTTCAGGAGAGGGTTAAAAATTGGAAATTATACGTTTTTTTAGTTAGCTGAAAAGAAATTGCATTGCGCCTTTTAGGTCGAAGTAGTCGTCAGAAATAATATTTTTTTTTAGTTATATCCGCTTCATAACCATGCATAAAAGGAGCTGCAGCTTCTGTCAGTAAATATTGTTTTTTCGTAATGCACTGAACCCAGTCGGTGATTCTGAGATATAGCTGCTCATTTAACAGTTTCCTTTCAAGTGAATTTAAAAACTTTCTAAAATTATTTGCTAAATACTATTAGGCACTTCATTTGACAAAAAAAAGATCAACTAAGTAAAAAGCGCCTGTATATGTTTATTAACTAGATTACGTACATATCTAGAAATATGTACATATGTAAAAACTCCTGGTTGAGAAGGGTTTTATAAAGCGAAATTTTCGAGCAACTTTCTCTGCTTATAACGAATATGTTTAGACTCAATATCAAATTTTTTTTAAATCCTCAAAAGAGGCCTTTGATCTCAAACAGAACACACGTATAACATTTTTATAGCAATGCTTAAATACATACTTTTTCTATATACTTACACTTTCTTTGTATGTAATTATATACATATCATCTGTGCGCATATTTACATATTCATATGTATTTAGGAATTTATTCCCTCGCGGTGTCAATGAAGTTAATTCTCCGTTTTTTTTTCACAAAATCCCAATTTCTATAATAGTTGAAGCTTTTCACACATATGAACGCGAGAAAATACGTAGATAAACTGCAGAACTAAACGTAAATAAAACGAGCCCTAACTGCCAAAATCAAAATTTTCTCTTTGATGCAGAAATGCATCTAGATGCTCTGGGAGTATTTCTGAATAAAAAAAAAAAATTGCTAAACGTCGCTTATATCTTTTTGGCGGTTAGGGGTCCAAAATACACATAAATAAAAAATAAAACTTTTATAAATTTATCTAGTCAGCAGACACCAGACTAGTTTTGGTTATAACTTTTTTTTAATGTAAAATAAAACTTAAGAAATATAAGTAAACACAAATGTAAACAACAACAAATGAGTTAACGCGCCACAAATGCTTTCTAATAGGTAAATGTGCAGTTAAATAAAATTTAGGAAAAGCGTAAGCAAGCAAATAAAATTAAGAAATATATATTTATGTATATTTTGTGAAAAAATACACTAAATGTTTATAAAAAAAAAAATATATATATAAATATATACATATATCTTTTTTGGGACAAAAGTCCGCTTATTGTAGTTGCAAAAATCATAAGACTTCTTCACCAAACAAAATACACTTTATTTAGTTTAATAAAAAAATTAAAACAAAAAATTCTATAAAACTAAATTAACGAAAAAATTTAAAAACTAAATGTAAATTATTTTAATAAGTGTGTATGTATATAAGCAAGTTCGTTAGTGTAAGTGTTGTATGTATAACTAGAAATAAAAATAGTAATAATTAATTATGTAAAAAATAGCAAAGTTTTGTGTGTTTTTTTTAAGTTGCGATATGTTTGTTAAAAATGTACGTGTATGCGTGCGTGCATTTGTGTATGTGTGTGTGCATTCATAGAGCGTTAATTAAATATAAATACCATTAAAAATTTTTAATTTAAATTAATTTAGTAACTGAAAAAATTTTTTGTAAATACAAAATACAATGGAAATAAAAGCAACATAAACATACATATATACATCACTAGGTTAGAGTGAAAAGTGGCCAAGTCAAATCAAAAATACGTCTTACCCAAAACGACTAAGGTACTCGTTTTATTTCTTCGAATTTATATTCAATGAAAGGCACAGAAAATTCGCTAAGACCAAATTCGTATATAATGCGGATTCGTATGGTGTTATGTCGTCTTCGAAGGTTTACAAAATACTTGAAGAAAATGGCTATAAGGAGTTTTTTTGTATATCATTTAAAATTTAAAAAAATGGACTTAGCAACTTTTTGCTCTAAGCTAGCGATATGCTGTATTTAGTTTTATTGTAGTTACTTGTACAGAGAAATAATAATTGTTAGATTCTTAAAGCAAGCGTAAACCTAATGCGTGTATATTTATGTATATAAAACTAGATTAATTAATTTTTTATTTTATTTTTAAAACTTCGAAGAATCATACAAAAATTAGTATGATAAAAATGTTTAATGAATTACTTGGCGCAGCCTTGCGTGTTACCCTGCCACGTAGAGCTGAGGCAAGCCGTAATTCACACACTCTCCTTGGAAGCTAGTGGCGCATGTGCAGTTATCAAACGTAAAGGCATGCGACACTGGCAAGCAAAAATTAACGTACATAGATAAACTTTGAAAATGTGTTATTAGCGAGAACAAGCATACGAGAGGATTACTAAAAAAAAAGAAAATAACTAAACCATCTTCACGAAAGGTGTTAAAATGAATTTTAAAAATATATTTCATTAGTACTATAAAAATGCTGTCCTAAGGCTATCTACATATTTAGCTGCTTGAGCTTAAAAACAAAATTAAATTATTAAAAAAACCGAAATTTTCAAATTCTTCAAAAAAAAACTGAACTGCTTGAGAGATCGTCATTCATACATACTTTTCTACGATTCATTTGAGTTTTCAAATCTCACTCCATAGTTGAAATCAAAAATTTTCTATAACAAAAATCATGTACATTCGATTTTCAAATTTTATACCAGATTTTTAATAATTCAACAAATTTTCACACTTTTTTTTAGCATTTAGTTTATAGCACTTTGAATTTTAGTGAAATAAGGTGCAAGTAGACGACTTCGTTTATTTGGAAACCCGCATTAGCACCAATAATAATGTCAGCCTTGAAATCCAACGGAGCATAACTCTTGCCAACAAATGCTACTTTAGACTGAGTAGGCAATTGAGAGGTAAAGTCCTCTCGACGTACCACCCTCTATAAGTCACTTATCATTATGCACGAGCTGGTTTATGGCACAGAAGCATGAACAATGACAACATCCGATGAGGCGGCTCTTGGAGTATTCGAGCGAAAGATTTTACGGAAGTTTTACGGGCCTTTATGCATTGATGACGGGCGAGTACCGCAGATGATGGAACGTTGAGCAGTTGGAGTATACAACGACATGGACATAGTGCAGCGAATTAAAATTCAGCTGCTCCGCTGGCTAGGTCATGTCGTTCGAAACGCTCCAGCTCTGAAAGCATTCAACGTGGGTCTTCCTTATAAAAAAAAAAAAAAATAGGCGAACATACTTTGTACAAAACTGGCACAAAATGGCATACTCAAAAATTCAATTTTTTTGACTTTGAAGTTTTGAAGAACATTTTTTGAATTATTATAAATTTTGTATTAAGTTTGAAAATCGCATTTTTTGTGTTTTTTTTTTGTAGAATATGCTATATTTTTATAAAAAATTAATTAATATTAAATAAACAAAGGGAAAACTGTCAATAATGAGGATCAAAAGGGGGCGCTGTTCAAGTGGAGTGCACTGTATATGTAACACTAGTTACATATACATATACATGTCTATACAAATATATATACTACATATGTATATGTAAGTCACTTTACGCAATTTGTAAATGTTGTAAATTTTTTTGTAAGTACGTATGTATTTTTTTTTAATTTAAGTATTTATAGTAATAATTTACTACATATAGATGTACATAAGCAAATGATATGGAGTGACCCATATATAATTATGCAGTATATTTTGTATGTATGTATGTAAGTATGTGATGTACGTTACTTGTTTTCTAGTTTTAATGAATAATAAAAAAGCGAAATATTCACCTCTATTGCGAGTGTCGACTAGTAGTCGCTTTTCCATGGTATTGTGAATGTCGATTTCTCGTTTAATAAGCGTCTGTGAATAGTTTTTAACCGCTCATCCTTCTATAACTGTTTTTTTGTAGAAGGATGAACGATTATCAACTTTTCTCACTCACTTATTGAACGAGAAAACGGTTTTGAAAATACCACAGATCATCGAAAATAGACTAACAGTCGTTTAACACTACTAGTCGACACTCGCAATAGGGGTGATTTAAAATAAATAAATAAATAAAAAGAAAACAAAAACCGAGAAATATAAAAAGTATAGCCAAAAGAGTGGCCAAGTTTTGTAAATTGTTTCAAATCAATTTAGGAAAACCATTAGAAAGCTATAAAATAAATGCATAAACAAATATCCACTGTTTAACTAGCATTTTAGTACATAGAACATTTAAAAATTATCCATACAGAATTATTGTATATGTACTGTCTGTTGTTGTAGTTCGTTAAGCGTTCTTTTGCACACTCCTGTGTGGCGCATAATCAACAAATAAATATATGTATATGTATATCAAAACATGCAAACGTAACAACCTACAATTATTAAAGTTTTGTTGTGTAAAATAATAGTGAAAAGAAAAAAAAATATTCTTACATAATTGTATGTGAAACGCACAGAAGCAAATTAATTTAGTTACTATTGAATACATTTAATGAAAATATATATATAGCATTGACACATTAAGTTAAACTTTTGGCTAATAAAACTAAAATCTGGACAAATGGATTTAAAATTTCAGCGGATAGATTTAAACTTTGGGAAAATAAATTTAAGCTTTGGGCAAATAAGATTAATCTTTTGGCAGACTAAATTTAACTCTACTATTTATTTATTTATTATTTAGTGTTTTTTCAGTTTTTTAAACACTGTTTAGTACTATTGTAGGGTTTAATTTTTTTTGGCTCAAGATTTAAATTTATTTGCCCAAAGTTTAAATCTATCTGCTGAACGTTTAAATCCATTTGCCCAGAGTTTAATTTTATTTGCCAAAAGTTTAACTTAATGTGTCAATGCTATATATGTACATATATGTATATATAATTATATTATATTAATTCATGTTGAAGGAGCAAGAAAACAAATCAAAATACATTGATTGCCATATTAAAAATAAT